AAATCCGCTTTCTTGAAGTACGCATCAAAGAGATCATTGTTAGCCATCTCTCGAATTTATAGATCGACACACGATGCTCAAATTTCGACCTGACTCCAATTTTTTATCTATATAGTATCAAATCCTCGTCGCTTTAACAAAACCCCAAAAAAGGCCGATACCAGGTGGTGCTAGCCTGCTTGCGGGGACGAAATGGTGAAGGAGATGGAGGAATAAAATTATGTTTGATTGGATCTACGCTGAAACGACACCGTTTCCAACCGTCACGCTGTTGGTGCTTCCGCCAGCGTCACAACAGTCTGACTTTTTTTACCAGGTGAAATTATTTACATCCAACGTATTAATGATAATTACAATTATTATAATTAATAAATTATAATTTATCATTTTATTCGAAACTGATTCCGTCATCATGTGTGGTCGTAACGATAGAGATTGGACATGAAACGCTGCCGCTTCACACACTGTTCCACTAAACTCGAGATTTGTAATATTTTGAGCCAAATTTTGAACTAAATCTTATCCCAAGAAATGGTTAATTTACTTCTATAAAATATGTTTAATTCTCCCCAAACCTTATTAAATTATTGAATTGAATTTTTTTAATTCATGTTAATTTTAAATAAGTTAAAATTAAAATAGGTAAAACTTCAATTTGATTTCAAATATTTTTATATTTTCAATTATATCTATAAAAAAAATATTTACCCACCATTAATTTCAAAGAATAGTATGGGCTTTTTAAATGAATTTGGAACTTCACTCTTTGTAAGTTAACAAAAATGTACAATTTACTCAAATTAATCGAATAATTTAACTAAAATTATTTAATCTGTGCATGAAAATAAACAAGGAAACTTAGCTTTTAGAAAATAATCAAACTAGATAAAAAAAAATTAATTCAAAAATATGTACAAAAGATAGGAAAATAATATTTTGGAAATTAGATTTAAATGAGAGAAAATCAAAATTGGAGTAAAATAAATAAAATGTAGGATGAGAGGAAATTATATGATTAATTCCCAAAAACCAATAAACTAATAATTACACTTACGATTTTTCTCTCTCTTGTATCTTTTATACTATGTAATTTATGTTGACTTAGTTTATAAATTTATATTTATTTTAATTAAAAATATAAATTTAACTAGATCTAATTCTACGTTGTAAGTAAAGCTCTCATTTTCTTTTTATTATTAATGTAGATTTATAAATAAATTTAAAATAACTTTTAGATTTATCAAAACATAACTTCCAATTTGAGCGAATGCAATATTAATACTTTATAAGGTGTTTAGCGTAGCATTCTTTTTCTGTTGACAAAAGTTTATATATGTGGTATCAATAACTTATAAATTAGACGATTTATAAATGTCTAAAACCTTAAGAAAAATAATATATATTGTAACGGCGGAAACAAATAATAATTAGGAGTTTATATTTTTTACACAATAAATTATGATACCAAATATGGTTACGAGAATGTCTTTTTTAAATAAGTTAAAATAACAGAAACATAAATAAAATTAAAATCACATGGGGTTAATTTCTACTGGCAACTTTGATGGAGTCCGATAGGTCACTTTTACTCGCAACTCTCATGTTGTTCAAGATACATATATTGATTTTCTTGATATGAAATTGTTAAATAGGGGAGCGAGTTACACTAGCCAAGTAAAAATATAACACTAATCACTTATACGGAAAATTGAAGGTTGGTAAAAATTATAAAACAACTAATTGAGCCATTAATTTAGGTAAATTCATTTAACATAAAATTATTTATTTCATACTTACCGTTACGAGTTCTCAAAATTGACCTATAAATACAATAATTCAAATAACATTGTGATTTTATATCCAAACGAGTAAGAATAGTAACTTACTTTTTTTACCTGTTTATCGGTACTTCTGGGAGTTTACAAGGATATTTCATAATGCGTGAACCCAATATCCAAATTTGTTAATTAACTAGTCGTTCCCACACCATTCTGGTAATGAGCGCCAAACATACCATTGTCTCGATACCTCGTTCGGTATAAAGGTGAACAATATCTCATAAACTCTTCTGCTATGACGCTTTTCATCATCGTCTAACTGAGATAATGTCTACGGTAGAGTTTTTCCTTATATACCGGGTCCGTCCACCCTTTCTCAGGGTACTCAATAAGCTTTCCATACACAAATTTACATAATCAACCAATCAATAATTACATACCCATATCTCATATTTACAAATCAACAATCAGTCATGCAAAGAGACAATATTCAAATCAAAAAAATATGATTGTGACATTTATTATAAAACGAACCAACAGATGAGCGCTACACAGTTGGGTAACTAAATAACCAAGAAAATAATTAAAACTAGTAATTTAAAGCACACAATATAACAGTAAGCATTTTAGATAGTATAGAAGAAAATAAACAGTAAACTATGGTAAATATACATTGACCGGTTCCACCTCTATTAGTGACTTATAATTAATTTTACAAGTTTTTCTAAAATTCACAAAATACAGTGTTATTGATTATTAAGCTTCAATTTAGTGTAACAGAAAAAAATGGCGAGCGATTCTTACCTCGAATTGGTGTCCAAAATATCATACTTTTCACTGCGCCTCCTACCGATTTTCGAGTTTCTTGAATTTTTTATATGAAAATTAAAATACTCATTATGTATCTAAAAATACCTCAAAATGCCAAAATAGGCGTTTTAAAACTTTTTCGGCCAATTTTAGGGTTTTGATACTGCGGCGTCGCCGTGCTCCGGTACTTGCTCTGCTGCCCATGGTGATGGTTCGCCTCGGTCTGACTATTTTCGATCGGTTTAGGCCAATTTTGCACGTAAACCTGGGAAAAATAAAGTTATGAGGCCTCAGTTAGTTGGAAAATGAAAAAAACGGAAACCCTACTGGCAGAAGCTCTCCAGGTGCGGCAGCTCCGTCGCTCCTCCTTTGTGGTCGGGGTTTTCCTTCAGTTAACCTGCACCAGAAAAGGTAAGAAACACGATGGTCAGAAAATCGAGAGAAACGAAAAACAAGAAGAGGGTTATTAGAGAGATTTCAGGTTGCGATCGGGGGAGCTCGGTTGAGCTCTGCTCATGTTTTCTATCTTACCCGCTGCCCTTTTTGCTCCAACATGGGTGTGGGAGGCTCGGAATTCAATTCCGAGTGAAAAATAAAAATTTTACTCCTTCAGCGTCGGTGATGCTCTGGTGCGACGGCGTTGGCATCCCTCTAGAGCTGATCTTCCTCTGACACCTCTTTCTTTTCCCAACCGGATTTCGTCTTGGGATTTTAAGACCGA